ATTATCGTTTGAATACCCTCACGACTACAGCGTTTTCTTCATCCGATTTCGTGGATTTGCCATTTATGACTTCGTTTCTTTTGTTCCAAACGTGTGACGAAGCCCTTTTCCGACACGGATTATGTGAGAATAAATGTATATATATGTCTCGCTTTTATATTTCTATAACTTTTGCAATTGAATGCTAAGCAACCAAATTCTTCTCCAGCTCAATAAACATCTGGGCGAAAAGTGAAGCCAAACATAGTACATAGTCATGTGATAAACTGCACTTTTGGCCGCTTTACTCCGCCGTAAAAATAAATTTGTTTTCGCCATCTCCGCAAAATGTCCGAGCTGATTATCTGGAGCCAGCGACTTGATTTCCATTTAGCGACGTGCTTTTCTCCTTTCCTTGCGAGAATTCTACAAGCAGAATATCTGCGCATACGTTACAGCACTCGGTAGATTTTACGCCAAGAAACCCCCCCCAAAATCCAACATGAGTTTCCCAGGAATGACTCCGCCCATCGGCGGTATGGGAGGAGCAAATAATATGCAGGGCATGAGTGACCAGGAGCAGGCAATGGTCAAGGCGGTTCGCATCCCGACATCAATTCTACCGGGCTACATGCTAACATAAAGCAGATGCACGCAGCAATGGAATCCTGTCCCGTCAAGACCGCCATCTCCGGAACAATGGGTTTTGCGCTCGGCGGTGCCTTCGGCTTGTTCATGGCTAGTGTATGTGTCCCATGCCCCCAATCTAAAATACGGAAAACAGGTGTCTGATCGTGTCTACTTCTATAGATGTCCTACGACTCCGCATTCACCCCCCAAGGAGCCGCCCTCTCCGACCTCCCCTGGCGCGAACAACTCCGCCGCGGCTTCAAAGACATGGGCGCCCGCTCCTGGTCCTCGGCCAAGAATTTCGGTATCGTCGGTGCGCTCTACGCTGGCACGGAGTGCTGCATTGAGGGCCTGCGCGCGAAGAACGATCTCACCAACAGCGTCGCGGCCGGTTGCATCACGGGCGGGATCCTTGGTGCGAAGGCGGGCCCGCAGGCTGCGGCTGCTGGCTGCGTTGGCTTTGCGGCGTTCAGTGCGGCGATTGATGCGTATATGAGGATGCCGTCGGAGGAGTAGTGCCGCTTGCTTCGGTTGCTTCGCCTGATATGCGGTGTTGCTGTTCTGTTCGGACAGATGGTTGCTTTGCAAAACGTGTATAAACATTGGCGTGGCGTTGGGTTTTCTCTATATTTTGATTTGATGGGATAGATATGGGCAGCATCTTTGGCGTTCTTGGGGTTTCTATTTTGTCCGATGGATGGTGTGCTTGTCCGCGCGTGCATATACTCCGACTCCGCTTCTGCACTTGTGCATATGTTAGATCTTGAGTGGGCGCTGACTGACTTGTATGGTATGGGTGTGACTCGCAACTCAAGTGTACAATACGTGATATAGTTATAGAGGGTGTGGATACAGGCATATACTCCGATCTGCATGGCTATCCGCTACGCTGCTCTTGGACTCTTCTGTTGAAATGATGGCGACCTTTAAGAACTGAACAAGTAAATAAATACTTAGCCCTGATCTCAAGGATTGTATAAGAACAAATTTATCCTATACCTCTTGATAGTCAGCATGACATTCTCTTTGCCCCACGCGATGCATGTTTGCTCAGCCATGACGTAGGGGGCAACACTATATATACTTCCAGAACATCCGCAAACACACAAACACATCGATGACAATGTATGTCAACTGCTCCAGCTAACAGCCTAGAAGATGACCTGTACGGTAAGTCTTCAAACACCAAGAAACGATCAGTCTTAACTCGATCTACGGAGTAGCAAATCGAGTATTCCGTCGACAAGCCACTGAACCGAGAGCCACCCGTCAAGCAACTCGTCGCGAGGTATGCATCTTCCATCCTCGACTGTCGTCGTAGTACAGTAAACGAATGAAAAAAATGAAGAAGGGATAATACTAAAGCAGTATACATTATAGCTTCCTCACACCAGCTGATATATCCTACGACCGTAATCACGGCCCCATCCCGCATCTCTCAGCAGACTCCCATAAAGTACACGTCGACGGCCTAGTCTCAACCCCTCTCAGCCTATCTATCCAGCAGCTCGCAAGCGAATTCCCCCAGCATGAAGTCATCTGCGCGCTGGAATGCGCTGGCAACCGGCGGCACACGATGCGCACGATGCTGAAGGAAGTGCAGGGTATTGACTGGGGGGATGCGGCAGTGATGAATTGTAAATGGCGGGGGCCGAGATTACGGGATGTGCTGCTGCGCGCGGGGGTTAGGGAGGACGAGAAAGGTCTGCATGTGGAGTTTTCGTGCTATCAGGTGAGGTGTCAGGAGGATGAGTGGTTTGGGGCGAGTGTGCCGCTGGAAAGGTGTTTGGGGGAGGATGGGGATGCGATTCTTGCGTTGCAGGTGCCCTTTCCTCGTTCCCTTTAGCGTTTCTTGGAGGGAGACTGAAGATGGCATAGATGAATGACGCTCCGCTCCCCGTGAACCACGGATATCCTGTTCGTGCTATCCTGCCTGGCATTGTCGGCGCGAGGTGGGTCAAGTGGCTGGATCGCATCACGGTCTCGGACCATGAGTCGCCGAATTTCTACCAGCAGCATGATTACAAGGTCCTGTCGCCGGCGGCGGTCGATCAAGAGTCAGCGCAGCCGTTCTGGGCGCAGACGCCCCCCATGACTGATATGCCTATCAACTCTGTTGTCGCGGTTCCGGAAGATAATGAGACGGTTGCGTTGTCGAGTTCTGGGGTCATGGAGGTGAAGGGGTATGCTGTTCCGCATGGTGCGGATGGACCGGTTACTCGTGTGCAGGTTTCGGTGGATGGAGGGAAGACATGGATAGATGCCAAGATTGATGAATCTGGGGAGGGGAATAGGCGATGGTGCTGGGTGTTGTGGAGTGCTGCTGTGTGTCCTGAAGTAGGAACAGGGAGGGAGGTTTTGAGTCGAGCTTTTGATGCTGGTGGGAATGTGCAAGTAGAACATTCGCAGTGGAACCTGAGGGGTGTCGGGTATAATGGGTACGGGCGAGCGCGGAATCTGACAATCATTTAGTGCAGGAGCCAGGAGTTTTATGGCCAGGCAGACTCTTTGATCTGACTGAAGACAGACATAACGTAAATCGTAAGTATATTGTACTGCTCTATCACTATACATACAGCCAATCATGGCAACACAACGTATTTCTCCAGGTGCTTGGGAATCGAGCTCCTGAGGCCCTTGCTCTGAAGCCAGGTGTTGGAGAAAAGCCGGTCAGCATACCGGTAGGCACCATCGCACAGAATGGTCACCACATTGCTACCCTTGGGGAGCTGCTCAGCGACCTCCTTGGCGGCGACAACGTTGAGCGCGGAGCTAGCGCCCAGGTAGAGTCCCTCCTCATCAAGGCAGCGGTAAACCATCTCAATGGACTTTTCGTCGCTGATGGTGAGCGACCCGTCGAGCAGATCGATGTCGGGCTTCAGGTTGTCCGTGACACGGCCCTGACCGATGCCCTCCGTGATACTGCTTCCACTGCGCTCGATCAGGTTGCCGCCGCTCTGGATGTAGCTGTGGAGAACACTGCCTGGAGGATCGGCAAGGAAGCACTTCACGCGGCCATCGCTGGCGGTCTTGAGGTACCGTGTGATACCAGCAAGAGTGCCTCCTGTTCCAGTAGCACATGTGAACGCATCGACCTTTCCATCAGTTTGAGCCCAGATCTCGGGTCCAGTGGTCTCAATGTGGGCCTGGCGGTTGGCGGTGTTGTCGAACTGGTTCGTCCATACGGCATTTTCCAGCGACTCGGCATGTCTGCGCGCCTGGTGGTTGTAATTCTGAGGGTTGTCAAATGCAACAGCGGGCACAGGATAGACCTCGGCACCTAGAAGACGCAGCAGGTCGATCTTACCCTGCGACTGAGTGTTGGGCATGTAGATAACAAGCTTGTAGCCTTTGGATCGGCACACATGCGCCAAACCAATACCGGTGTTGCCAGCTGTTCCCTCAACGACTGTACCGCCTGGTTTCAAAAGACCTTTCTCTTCGGCATCCTTGACGACGAATAGCGCAGCACGGTCCTTGACGCTACCACCGGGGTTCTGGAACTCGGCTTTGCCGAAGATATTGCGTCCGGTTTCGTCAGAAAGTCGCTTTAGTCGGATGAGAGGGGTGTTTCCAATAGCTGCAAGTACGGAGGCAGATTAGCATGCTGCAATTGCTCTATCACCGTAAGATGTGCATTGCGGTATCCTATACCTTCCGTCAACCCGTTCACGACGCCCTGAGCTCTCGATACCCGCTCATGGTAGGCGGTCGATGCCTCCACGGCGCGGAGGGCGGTTGTGCCAAACCGGCGTACACTTTGTCGAAACATGCTTCCCAGTAGACGACAGGTACACCAGAACTCGCAGAACACCCGTCAACGGTATGCACGCCGGAGAAAGACGAAATGACTTGCGAGTACAAGAACCCCAGATTCTCGGACGCCGAGGATCGGCATTAGTCATCTTTGGTCACGTGAAATATGGCGTGATGAGGTTTGTAACAAGTAGGTGGGCGTATGGAGCCAGCCATTTCCTCTTCTGTCGAGTTCGTCTTCGCAATATAACATAGGCCTTATAATACCGCTGATATGAGAAGAATCCAAGCAACGCAGTCTGTTTCGTGGTTAAGTGGTCGTCCCTGTAGATGGATGGTTGTATCCCTCCAGAAATACGTAGATGTATGGAAACCACGTGCCCAGAGCCCTAGCCCTTATCTTAGAGCTTTCCCGTTTGGGCTGTTTGTTTATCCTTTGGGCCCCGTGACAGCGATCTGCGTTGGGAGTGGTACCTCCGCACTGGTGAAAGACGACGTCCATCTTGACCACGATTCGTATCCAGTCACACAACTAATACTATACAGCAATAAATGAGATGCAAATGACTGTCTGAGATGACCTAAGTCTTTTTAATTTGACAGAATTCCACGCCGTCCCTCACTATCAACCAAAGATGCCTGGCCGAGTTTCCGCCCGTTCGACCTCTGCGCCGACACGCAGGTCATCGGCTCAGCCCTCAGCATCGGGAGGTCGCGCCGCCTCTGTGACCCCGTCCTTTGTGATTCCAGAGGAACCTGCTCCGCCCGAAGCATCGCCTAACCTACGTCGCGACGTTTGTGTGATTTTTGCTGACGCCCAGCGTTCAACGACCGGTCACCGAAAACTTGTGGTGCGGTTAAGGAAGCTGCAGGAGATTTGCTGCGGAATTTCTGCGAAGAAGACCAAGAAGGATGGAAAGGGCCCTGAGGTTCAGGAAGAACTTTTACTGCCGAGCGAAGAAACCATTCCGGAGAAGGAGTTCAACGTAGAGGTTGGTCGCTGCTTGCTGCGCATACTCCCGATCAAAAAGACCGAGCCGGTTGGCGATCGAATTCTGCGGTTTGTTGGAACTTTCCTCTCTCACGCGACTGAGAAAGATACCGAAATCTTCGCTTCCGGAAATGACGAGGATGACATGCAAAATATCATCGAGACCCCAACTGCCCGTCTGGCGACTCATCTAATCAGCGTTGTTGTGCCGTTGTTGTCGGCAAAGGATAAGATCGTGCGTTTTCGCGCGACACAAATTGTCACCCACATTGTCAATTCTCTTGAAACAATCGATGATGATCTCTACCATACCATTCGACAAGGACTGTTGAAACGGATTCGAGACAAGGAGCCCTCAGTGAGGGTACAAGCGGTGCTGGGACTCGGGCGCCTGGCAGGAAACGAAGAAGAAGATGACGACGATAACGACGATAGTTCCAAAGCCCTCCTCGAAAAGCTCATCGACATTATGCAGAATGACACAAGTGCTGAAGTACGGAAGACCTTGTTGCTCAATCTGCCTCTAGTGCCCGCGACTCTCCCTTATCTGCTCGAACGTGCTCGAGATCTCGAAGCAACTACCCGCCGAGCCTTATACTTCCGCTTACTTCCCACCCTGGGTGACTTCCGTCATTTGTCGCTTTCAATGAGAGAGAAACTTCTTCGCTGGGGCCTTCGAGACCGAGATGAAAGTGTTCGAAAGGCCACTGGAAAGCTGTTCTACGACCGCTGGGTTGAAGACTGCGCTGGCACAAACAACGATTCCGAAAATGGTCCTTCCACCCAGCGCTCCCCCCCAAACATCCCGGCACTGCTGGAGTTGTTGGAAAGAATTGATGTCGTCAGCTCTGGGATGGATTCCGGAATCGCGCACGAGGCCATGCGTAGCTTCTGGGAGGGCCGCCCCGACTATCGAGAGGCGGTTGTTTTTGATGAGCCGTTCTGGGAATCCTTGACGGCCGAGTCAGCTTTTCTCCTACGATCCTTTAATGACTTCTGCCGTGTCGAGAACGAAGGAAAGTTCGATAGTCTCGCCGACGAGAAGATACCTGAGGTGACAGCCTTCGCGCATTTTTTGAAAAAATACATGACCGAGCTCCTGCAGAGGAAGAAAATGGCCAAGGATACTAGTGAAGCAAACGATGACGACACCGTTGAGAACGAATTTATCGTTGAACAACTATTACATATCGCCATCACGCTGGACTACAGTGACGAGGTCGGCCGCCGGAAAATGTTCTCTCTCCTTCGCGAGTCGCTAGCCGTGCCCGAGCTACCTGAAGAGTGTACCAAACTCACTGTCGAGACTTTGAGATGTGTGTGCGGACCAGCGGCTGCAGCCGAGAGCGAATTCTGCAGTGTCGTCCTCGAAGCTATTGCCGAAGTCCACGACACTATTGTGACCGAAGATAGTTTTGTTTCGGCCAAGTCTGAAATCAGCGATGCAACCTCCAGCCGCCAACGGTCTGAGACCCCGGCAGACAGTGAAGCTGAAGTGCCCTTCAATAAGGAGGAGGCAAAGGCTAAAGTTCTGCGCGAGATCGTGGTCAATATGAAATGTCTGCATATTGCCCAATGTATGTTGCAAAATGTGGAAGGCAATCTGCAACAGAACATGAACCTGGTTACTATGCTCAACAATTTGGTCGTTCCAGCGGTTCGAAGCCACGAGGCCCCGATCCGTGAAAGAGGTCTAGTGTGCCTTGGTCTCTGCTGCTTGTTGGACAAGGTGAGTTTTCTATATATTGACATATTTTTCCAGCAAAGTGCTGACCATTACTTCCCCCGTCCCCAGACTCTCGCCGAAGAGAATATGACGCTCTTCATCCACTGTTATAGCAAAGGCCATGAAGCTCTGCAGGTCACCGCTTTACATATCTTATGTGATATGATAACGACGCACCCCTCGCTACTCGCCCCTGTCCCACAGTCTGACGGGGAAACCGTTTCCCCACCAGCATTCCAGAAGCCACTGCTCAAGGTCTTTGCAAGAGCCCTGAAGGCTAGCTCTCCGAACAGTGTCCAGGCCGCTGCCGCCACCGGCCTTTCAAAGTTGTTGCTCACGAACACTTTTACGCCGTCTGGAGCAAACATCCCACAGGCCATTCAGGAGTACAACGAGTCCGCTGTGGAGACCCTCTTGCAATCGCTCATTGTGTCTTTCTTCCACCCACGTACTCGGGAGAACCCGGCCTTTAGACAAGCGTTGGCCTATTTCTTCCCTGTTTACTGCCATTCCCGCTTGGAGAATACCCAGCACATACGAAAGGTGACCGTTCCCGTTATCCGTGCGGTTCTCAATGCGGCGGAGGAGTACTACTCCCTAGAAGCCGAGGAAGATAGTGATGGCGAGATTGATGAGACTGTTGGACAGAGGGAGCTGAAAGCCCTGATGGCAGGTGTCGTGGGCATGCTTGCGGAATGGACGGATGAGCGGAGAGTGGTGGGCCTGGGAGGAGAGAAGATTCTTGCGGGCGTTCCGACGAGCTCCAGCCCCTGTGGATTCGTACACTTGGCCCTGGTGAAAGATATTCTGGAGCGCGTTCTGGGAATCAGCACCGGTCCCAACCGGTGCTCCAAGGAAGAAAAGAAGCTTCTATTCTCATTGTTGAGCAAGCTTTATATCTCGCCTCCTGTGGTACCATCGCGATCTGGGTCTAGGATGCCCGAAGGCGATGATCAATTCCGCTCCAGCACCCAGAGTGCCAGTGGGGGCGAAATCTCCCCTGAGAATGTGGCTCTTGCCCAGGAAGTCAAGGAATTACTGGACGAAACCATCCAAGAGGGTGTCGCGGCCGAAGCAGCGGGTCGAAATGCGCTTGTGAAGGTCAAGAATGCTGTTCTCAAGCTTCTCGCAGCTGCGCAGGGCACCAGGTCCGACAGTGTCAGGCCGCGCGAAGGCACCGAGGAACCCGAAAGTGATGCCATGAGCATCCGCTCTGGCAGTGTCCGGCCATCCATAGAGCACCCAGGCAAACGCCGGCGGATGTTCTCAGTAGAACCCAGCATTAAGGAGGAGGATGAGAACGATGACAGTCGAGGAACGATCATCAAGTCTGAAGCTCATGACGACTGAGGGCGTAGGCCCTTGGTGCTTGATTCACTTCTTTCTGTTGCCGGCGTTGAATGACGGTCATGGGTTGAGGATGGGATGGGTTATGACACGGTTATGAGGTTTCATGTAATTATTGATTTGGTCTATTGGTGTATATGACTGACGCTGCTTCATTCCAATTTATTGCACGTCTTAGTTTCTGGGATGATCTACTTTTGATAACACCCCGTACGGTGGATCCTCACTACTATGAGATATGTACGATACACAAAGGTGTCCCTCGGATACGAGGCTGGCTGACCCAGGGAAATGAGGCACTGCGAATTGAATTTTCTTGTGGAAGTGGTAGGCTGCCTTTAATTGACCTTAATTAACCTTGACAATCGGAATGTAACTATCTCAATGGGTTCACAGCCCTTTCCCGTCCTGGCTGTCCAATAAAACTTCATGTCCCTGCATTTCGTTACTGCCACTGAGATTGAAGTAAGGTGGAATTCACGTCAATCCAAGTGTCTCAGTCTGATTGCTCATCCCTCTATCTATCGATCTATATTTCAAGTTTCGTGTTACGATTATCTTCCGACAAGTCAGGATAAATACCTACCTCTTACTGATAATATATACAAGGGGCATTCCTTCTAGTGGTCTAGTTAGCTCCCAAGCACTTTTATTGAGACTTAAGGACCAGGATTGAAACCTGTTTGCTACCTAGATTAGTACTTCTGTATGAAAGGATGGTGTACTGTCAAGTAATATCATCGCATCCGCCTTATTAATTGTGTCAGCGGAAGGTCGCCGACTAATTGGAACTATCTACAGTACGTACTTTAATTTCAGATGCCCCATCATGCCATATCTTGATATTTTATTGGTTTATTGAGACTATTCACCTAGTTTGACGGCACAAAGGCCTCACTTGTCTGGGGAAGCAGCGAAGATATCAACAAGAGAGAGAACCAAGTAAATCAGTGTCCTCCAGTTTTCAAGACCATGCTTTCTCCCACAACGCCCGCTCCTCTGGGGTTGTCGATTCTCGATTGAAAACCCTTTCTTTAGCATGCTTAACTCTCCTGATAGCTTCATTATAATCGCCAGGAGAGACAGCTCCATTCTAACCTGTATACACCCCTATTTCCTTGATTACTTATGCTTTCCTCTCCATGTCCCTCTCCCATTTTTTGTACTTCTCCTTACTCTGTTTATCCAGGTCATATTTTGAGTAGTTTAGGGGATATGGTACACCTGGATTGCCATAATCATCCTCCCTCACAAGCTGTTTCTATATATCATCTCTTGTGACATCAGTAAGGAGCTTCTGGACATACAGCTCCCCATCATTAAATATTAACCTGATTAGACTTTATAACTCAGACTGCAAAGTTTCATAGTACTTAAATACATGAATTAAATCTGGGGCTTCTTTATAGACTTGCGCCTTATAGTAAAGCCAGAGTGTCTAGGCTAGAAATAGCTGCTTAGTAGCCTTTTTATCTTAGACATTAAGCTCTTCGATATTCTCTGGCAGACTAGGCTGAATGAACCGCTCTGGCTTTGGACCGTCATACTCTCGGCTTCAGGTGTTCCCACACGCGACAAAGCTCGATACCTTTGGGCTTCTTAGCTTGCTTCCAACAATTCGGGAACAATCTGCAAGGCCTCTAGGAACAGGAAGTTGAAGATTCCCCCTTGCCTTTAAAGATGTTAGCTTAACTGAGCTATTTTTATTGACTGTTTGCTTAGTTCGAAACTGGGACTTCGCACATATTGCATCGTTGCCACTTCGGACGCAGTAGTATAGTGGCTAGCTCCTGCGTTGGGATTTGGGATCTTAACAACTAGCTCCAGACCGTCCTGCATGGTAACAAGAAAGGCCTTGTTGAAGTTTCCCTCTGAGACGTTGACGCAAACTGCACTGTCTCCGGCGGCTTCCTGCGCAACTTGATTAGAGCATCAAGATTGAATGAACCTATCTGCTTCGCAGCTGCTGTTCTTCATTCCAGATCCATCGCTGAGCTAGATGGGTGTAGAGGTCCTCCACATTATAATCCAAAAGCTTGTGAGCATGCGACATTTACTGTGATGAAGAAATTATACCGAAAAGCTTTGCTTCAGAGGTTTCCCCTCTCTGTCTCCCAATAAACAGTGGTCGCGAAACAATTGCGTGTAAACGTGGATAATTGATGATAGAAAGACAGGTCTATTTCTGATTCTTAATGGCATTTCAAGTGTAATTTCCCCCCAGACTGTAGGAAAGTCATTCAGTTTCCAAGAATTCTAACCCCGGACGCTGTATTCGAACGTCAGAAAGGAATTCTGGCAGCAGCTGGGCAAGAAGCATGGTTCCTGTAGAAAAGTATGTGACTGTCCAGGTGGACTCGCAACAGGAAGTGATGGGCGTGGAATCTGAGATTGATAAGATAGCTGGTCATTGATTTGTAAAGTATCAGTCTGAATATCCCAGTTCTTTCAAAGCTGCATTGACGCTGTACCATTGATAGTCCGGGAGGAAGATGGTGGCATGATAACAACTGGGAAGACCAGGAAGCATAGATCTAGTCCTGGCTTATAACCACAGAAAGAGAGATGCAGATTGTTTAGTAATGGCTCGGGATAATTGCTCTTGCATATGTCAGTCAGATAGTGACAACCTTCCCTACTCGTTAATGAACAGCAGTCGCCAACCCCTCATCTTACTTGGGATATTGTTGCTGACAATAATATGGAGTAAGAATAGGAGAAATGAATACCTGTCCAGCTTACGGAGAACTAAGTAGGCCATTCCAATCATTATAATCCACATGTTTCTCTTCGCAACGTTATAACTTCCTAGAACCACAAGATAAAACTAGTATCTCATAGCGTATCTACATGAATTGGGATTCCTGATTACTTCCATTCTGATCCTTATTAGCTGCATTTCTGGTTTCTGTCATGAAGTGCTCCAGTAGTCTATCTATCCATGCGTGTCTGCTGTCACCGGTGTATCTCCACTGTCTTTCCCCTCAAACCCGAAACTTTTCTTTTTTTTTATTTAATCTCGACGCTCCACCACACCACTAAGAAACCACCAAACGGACTGGTCCTTCACTGCAGGCTACCTACCTTAACTAAGGTACCTTGACCAACTACTGCTAGCTTGGCCTGGGGCCTTTCTCTTCCCTTCTCTCACCTCTCGCTCTCACACTCTCCTCTCAATTTCCCCCTCCCCTCAATCCTACCTCTCCTAACCTTTCACTTTCTTGTCCTTTTTTTCTGCTTGTTCATTTTCTTATTTTTTTTTTTGTTTGCATCTTACATCACGACAGTTTATCTGGTCGTGATCTAAGGTCCTCTGCTTAACTTTGCAGAGACTTTTTTTACCCACTACTTTCCCCCAATTCACTCCCGTTCCGTCCCCTTTCCCTCGCCGCTCCGCTGGCAGTGAGAGTGGAAAGAAGACAACAATCTGAGCGATGGCAACCGTCTCAGCACCTACCCCTAAGCTGGATCGCTACATTGTCATCCACGTCGCAACAACCTGTGATGAACATGGCGTCTACGTCACCAAAGATTCTGCAGAGGTGATCGAATTGGGGTGGATTCTGTTGGATACCAAAACCTGCGAGGAGGTGGGCTCTATTTTCCTGAATCGACAACACTCGGCCTTTTTCCCTCCCCCCTCGTCCTTGCGCCTCACTCCCCTTTCCCCCTCTCAGTGCCTAGGCCACCACCACCGCTGTTCGTCCGCCTGTCGCTGACTTGGACTTTTGTTCCCTCTTTAGCTTCATCGTGAAAGTGTTCTCGTCAAGCCCGTCAACACTCCCATTACGCCTCTTTGCAGTAAGTGGTTCTTTTCCTTTTTTCTTTTCTTTTAATCTATACATCTACCCAATTTCAACCGAACACGCGTTCTTGAATTTCCGACCCCCTGCTCCTACACCGTTCCCATTCACTGGATGCATCAGTCTGTTGGTTCAATGGCTGACAGTGTCTGACAGCAAGCCTTACAACTCTGACATGGGAACACGTCCGCTCGGCAGGTACCTTCCGTGACGCAATCAACCGCTTCGATGCCTTTGCCCAGGAACACCTCATCAGCAAGAATCTCGAGTTCGCCTTTGTGACGTTGGATTCGTGGGATCTCCGAGTGCAGCTGCCCCGTGAGGCTCGTGACAAGGCTGTCGTTCTTCCCCCATATCTTCAGCACTCACGGACCTTTGACCTCCGCACCGAGTACCAAAGATGGCAGACCCACCACCCCGAGTCTCTCCCTTTCGGTCCCAGCTCGCTTTCCAATATCTGCGCTGCGCTTGAAGTTGAGCCTGTCCAGTCCTCCGCTCCGATCAAGCATAACCTCCCGTTCCACCTTCAGGCATTGGCCCCCGCCTCTCCTCGCCGGGCAATGGAGGAAGCCATCACTCTGGCTCGCGTTCTCCGCGGCTTGATTCGCAAGTCGCAGCCGCCGCACGAGCACCCGGAGATCTTGACTCGACCCATGGATGCCAGAGCGGATGTTCGTGCCTTTTTGACAGAGCGCAGCAAGGTCCTCCATCTGAGCGGTCTGCCCCACGACACTACACAGTCGGAATTGGAAAGCTGGTTCACCCAGTTCGGTGGTCGTCCGATCGCTTTCTGGACTCTCCGGACGCCGGATCAACACAAGCCCACTGGCACGGGCTTCGCCGTTTTCTCATCCCACGAGGAGGTATGTACTCTTCAACTTTCTCCCTCTGTTGTCTATTGCAGGATCCTGACACTGGATGGTAGGCTGCTGAAAGCCTCTGTATGAACGGCCGCGCCTTGAACGAGAAGGCCATCGAGGTTTCACCCTCATCTAGTCGTGTCCTAGACCGTGCGGCTGAGATCTTGACTCCCTTCCCGCCGTCCAAAAACCGTCCCAGACCCGGCGATTGGACCTGCCCCTCCTGTGGCTTCTCCAACTTCCAGCGCCGTACGGCTTGCTTCCGCTGCTCGTTCCCCGCAATGGCTGCGGCTCCTGACCCGATGGGTTATGGAGCTTACGGCTACGGTCCCCCATCCATGATGCCCTCGCACATGAGCCATGGCCACGGAATGGGCCATCCTCGTGGCATGGGTGGTAATGGTGGTGTGGTTCCCTTCCGTGCTGGTGATTGGAAGTGCGGTTCCGAGGGCTGTGGCTACCACAACTTCGCCAAGAACATCAACTGCTTGCGTTGCGGTGCTCCTCGCTCGGGGGCCGCAGTTGTCGCTGACTCTGCGTTCCCCTCCCCCATGGACCCTCCGGCTGGGTTCGGCATGGGCCCCAACTCCATGACCAGCACCCCTGCTCCTGGCCCCTTCACTTCGGCAGCCGGTGGATTTGGTGGTTTCAACCAGCAATTCGCAGCGCCCCCCAACAACTATGCCTTGCCTTCAGGCCTTGGTAGCGCCCCTGGGGCCTATCCACCAATGGGTCAGATGAATGCTGGCTATGGCTCCACCAATGCCTCGCACACCACCTCGTCTTTCTCCAACCCTGCCACCCAGGCTGCTTTCAGTGGAGCTGATCACACCACCTCGACGAGCACCTCGAACGGCGGATTCTATGCGACAGACGGATCAAATGATCCCTTTGCCTTTCTTTCAACTGGCTTGGGCGGCTTGACCGTATCTGACGATGCCCACTCCCGTCGTAATGGTACCGGCGCCAGCAAGTCCCCTGCTTAAATAAAGCGGGTACACCTCTTTGGGTAAGGACGAGACCATAGATGGTTTCTCATCAGCCCGATTCCCCCTCGCCTCAGTGGTTTGTCAATATGGAGGTCTGAGTCTGTTGGTATATGTAACGGTTGATATTCGTTGAATGCGCGTTTGTATAAGGGAATCTGCAGTTCTGGTGCATTGGTTGGGAGGAGCAGGCCGGTAGCGTGTCGTCGTTTCATCCTCGTGTTTGTTTTTGTTAATCTTTCACATTGTCTCGCAGCCTTTCTGGTCCACCACTTTTCGGCATGTTTTACTATTGCGTCTTTGGAAGCGATGTTTGAGGGTATAGAGAACTGTCTTTGGTACAGTCAATGGCAGATGGGCAAGGGGCGCTTTTATTCGTCGATTGTCCTCGACTGGTTTTGATCATCATCCTTCACTTTGGGTCGGTTTGAGCTTCGCGCATTTTTCTCATGGGGCATCTTTCGACGGAGCTTCTTTTCTTCTCCAACCGCATGACTTCGCTCGAGCATTGCAACCAGTGGTGGACGCTCAAACTTGGCATTGCATTCTAGATATTGCTGTTTCTTCTGCACTCGGAATTACTGGAGAATCATGGTATTGATTACGGATGGGATACAATGGGATGGACTCTCGTTGGGGGTGTTGGGGGTACTTCTTCTGCGTCAGCAAAATTTCAACACATTTGGGGCACATGTGAGGCACAAAGATCGGGTATTGCGAGTGCAAGAAGATGTTCTATATGTCTATAATTCCTCTGTTCCCCTTATGTTGTCTTTTGGCCAACATTGTTTACAATATGAAAAGTCGATGCTATGCTGTAAACCAACCCTTGAGAATTACTTTGGAACCAGCACGATTTGATGCAGTAAAGGTAGAAACACGATTGTCTGGACTGATAGTCAGCTGTCCCAAGCATTTTCATTACATATAGCATCATTATTTCCAGTGAGGAAAAAGATAGAATGGCTGTTTAATGAGTTCGGACTGTCATATACCTGTCATGGAAGCTTGGTCGCTGTAGCAAATAGCCGCGCGCCAAGCGTCTTGAGAGCTCTGAGGCAACCGCGGGACTCGCGTTCACCTCCATCCCGTCATCACCCCAAGGTCGGAGATACAATTCTCAGCATTCAGCGAACTACATTACAAGCCATCCACTTGATCCTCGCCAACCTTTTCTATCGCCATTGCCATTTTTTTCATTCCGTACCTATCTCTCCTAGACGCAGCACTTCTCACAGCCCACAATGTCGGGATATGACCGAGCTCTTTCAGGTAAGGCAGCTTAGCTACCCTAGCTACTTGCATCATTGGTCTAGAGGACAGCTTATTCTGACAGAGATATAGTCTTCAGGTATGCTCTGGTATATGTTAGAGCTTTAGAAGCAGCTTTCTAACCATGGTAACAGCCCCGACGGGCACGTCTTCCAGGTGGAATATGCCATGGAAGCTGTGAAGCGAGGTAGGTCAATCTGCCTTCTGAAGCTCCCAAATTTCATTCTGTTCCATCTCACGCTGACCCATCTCTGCGCTGAACAGGAACTTGCGCTGTCGGAGTAAAGGGCAAAGATGTCGTCGTCCTGGGCTGCGAGAAGCGGTCTGCCCTCAAGCTCCAAGATACCCGTATTACACCGTCGAAGATTGCCCAGCTGGACAACCACGCCGTTCTCGCTTTTGCCGGACTGAACGCCGATGCCCGTATTCTCATTGACAAGGCCAGATTAGAAGCCCAGTCGCACAGACTGACCGTCGAGGACCCCGTTACTATTGAATACATTACCAAATACATTGCTAGTGTGCAGCAGCGGTACACACAGAGCGGCGGTGTCCGGCCTTTTGGTATCAGTACTCTGGTTGTAGGATTCGATCCGAATGATAAGGTGCCTCGACTATACATGACCGAGCCTTCGGGGATCTACTCTGCTTGGTATGTGGCTTCTTGGCTTGAGGCGAGTGATTTGGTTGCGTTAGGGACGTTGCTGACTTGGATACTTGCTCTACAGGAAAGCAAATGCTATTGGTCGTTCCAGCAAGACTGTGCGCGAGTTTCTTGAGCGGAATCACCAGGACGATATGGACCGGGAACAGACGATCCAGCTTACCATCAAGTCGCTACTGGAGGTGGTGCAGACTGGCGCCAAGAACATCGAGGTGGCTATCATGGCTCCCGGCAAGACGATCGAGATGTTGCCTGACGACCAGATCGAGGCCTACGTCAAGAGTATAGAGACGGAGAAGCAAGAGGAGGCCGCGAAGAAGAAGACTGGCCGGACCGGAACCACAACGGCGGCCATCCTTACGCGGCCCGGTGGTGGGGAGACTGGGGAGTCGACCCGGGAGTCGGCCGACTGAGACTCTATACAGGACATGTGCAACTACGAGACCTAACTACAACTTTTCTCCTTCGAATTCATGAGACTTGCGCAGCGTCATGCTCCTGAAGAAATGTGCACTATATTGTAGAACCAACGAGTGTGCAACGGGTAATCTATGGTGAATCTGTTGGGATGCGGACAATATGCAAGCATTAGATCGTAATTTTCGTTAACCATCGTGATCGATCCAACTCAGCCTAGCCGATCCGATATATCCTTGAAATTGAATATCGACTTTTCCTTGTGTTCCCGTACACGGTCGTCCTTGATCATTCTAAAGCGTGAAAAGTCAGCATCGCCCATCGACCGCATACAACGTTTCAAAAGCAGCACCAGACGGAAGAAACATACCTAGAATCAATCCGAGCATCATCACCCTCAACCTGCAACGCAGCCTTGGGCGTCACAGCGTCGATCACAAAATGGTTATCGCAGTGCGGGCAGTACTCGTCACTACCGTAAACATCAGCACCTGACATCCTCGCCTGAGGGCCCCCGAGTCACAAGCGCACTCCCGGGCAACCCTGGGCCATTCAGCATGAACGCACCTCTCATCGAACTCCGTCGCGTCCTTCCGGAAACACTTCTTGCACTTTTTACAGGCGAATGTCTGGGGATAACGGTTTAGATCTAGGCTGATTTTGCGGGTAGCGGGGGTTGTGGGTGTGGGAATACCATTTCGGTGGATTTGGTGAGCGGGTGGGTTTCTTGTTCGAGGTGGCATTCGGCGCAGTCGAACCATTTTCGGCCTGGGGGGGATGAGGACGGTGAGTATTGAGGATAGCTAAGGCTTTTGCGAATGCGTGTGGTGTGGTGTGTGTTGCTTACAGCAGGGAGAGCGGATGGCTACTTGGGCGTTGAGGACGTGTTTGCTGTGCGGTGGTTAGAGGGAGTAACTATAAGGTGGTGGTGGTTGGAATGGACGTACCACATTGTGAGGAGTAAATGAGTGTGATATGGATATGGAATGGGAGTGAGGAAGGACTGTAGAGAGGTATATCTATGCTCTACTCTGTAGAGAGGTTGACTAGATAATTGATAGAGACTAAAAGAAAGAAGCTAAAAATAAAGGTCACCGTCTTGGCTGATAGAATCACGGAGTATGGACGGAGGTGACTGTCAGTAATGGATCGGATCGCAATTGTTAGGTTATCGTGGTTATCGTGATGGATTGACATTCAGAAGAGATAGATCTTCATTCCCTTCCTTTTGAACTCTGATCTTTGCTCTTCTACTGCTGTGCTTTCCTTCATTGATGCTCCCCTCTCTGCTCCTCTTCCTCAACCCCCACTTGTTAATCGTCATCCCTTTGGCTCTCCACACGCTTTTGCACCGCCCCCTGTCTCCTTCTGGTCGATCTTCGTCCTCGCCTTTCCCCGAGTGCTCATCTCCAGCTACTGTCTAAGTATAAATTCAGCTGCGGCTCAAGGTCTTCGTCAGATGACTCCTGGACGGTCATTTCTCTTGCTTGGTTTCCTTTCTCGATCCGTTCTCGCTCATTTATACCCAACGATCTGCACCTGACTTCTTGCCCGCCACCATATTTACTTCCAGTCTCTTCTCGGCTACTTGTCTCGACTCTCGATACCGAACGCCGACATAGAATAACATTGCACCGGACGCAGGGTTCAAGATTTAAAAAAGGCCTATGATTCATATCTCCCCGCCCTTCCTGCGCGCGATCTCTCGTTGTGGTCATGGAGGGAAGCGGCAAGGACAAGGACGGCACGGATAATGCTCCCATTGTATGAGTTGCGCTTCCTGTGTGAGTGAGTGTATGAGTATCTTTTACTGATCCTGAAAATTTTCGCAGAGACCGGTTTCCTCCCTTCTGTCCCATTTCGAGAACCTGTCCCATCGCCGATCACCATCCGCCTTCCCAGCTACTAGTCCGCATGATTCGACTCCCTTCCTGAGGACGCCCGAACCTGTCGACGAGGTGCGCTCCGCGCGCGCTTCTCTCGACCTTCCTCGGGCTCAATCCCCATGGAATGCGACGGCAAAACCTCAGAATGGCCAGCGGTACGATCGGACAAATGGCGGATTCTCACGGCGCAGCGGCTCCCCGGGAATATCTCCAGGCAGGAGGCAGGGCAGACCCATGTCGATGAACTTCCACTCGTCGCCGCAACTGGCACCGACTTTGACGGTTGACTCGCCGCGATCACCTCCGCGGGGATTTGGATCCCAAAACCAGGCTGAGCACACCGTCAACTCCAGGATGTCCCGCAGTCCCCCGGACCCCTCTCGGGGCTCATTGCCGCCGCCGACCAACCGACCAACAACGCCCAATTCCTCGACGTTCCAGCAGCTGCCTAGTCATTTGTCGCCAGCGCATTCTCATTCGGGGAGCTTCATCGGTGAGAGTCCGCCCGATCGAAAGCAAAAAAGCTCTTCGTTGCCTCCCCCCATCGATCGGGCGGAGAAGCCGAAGGTCCCTGCAAAGCCGGCAGCCTTAACTTCCCATGAGAGCGCGACTCTGGCACCGAAGCCAGAGAGGACAACGTCAGAGGATCGGATATCACCGTTCAGCACGCCTCCAGGCAGTCCCGAGAAGCCGTCCGTCAAACCATCATCTTGTGGACGTCCGCAGATGCCACGCTCTCCTTCTCGGCCGACGACTGAACCCCCAAGCCGTCAATCGTTCGATGACAGGAGCCCTGTGCCGTCTGCGCATGCTCTTCGGGATGCGCGCGAGCTTGGCTTTTCGCGCAGGAGACCCATCCCGGAACCGACGCGGGACATGAAACCACTGATGGTACAGGTCCCACCACATCCAATGAAGCAGACGGAGCCTTTGTCAGCTGCGCCGTTGTCAGCTCGCAGGCTCCAAGCGACCGATACTCCCACCGAGCCTCCCAGCCTTCCGCCACGGCATTCGTCCTTGGCGCGAAGGAGTGGCGCATCTCCGTCTCGGCCGTCGCTTCATCTGGACGGCTTTTCGCATCCTGAACCATCACCTAGACCGCAATCATTCCAACTGCCCCCAAGGGAGAACCAGACTCCCACGCAAATACACCGACAGCCGTCGTTCTCCAAAGACGCTAAGCCAGGGCAGGCGTCTTCTGTTCCTGAACGGCAGTTGGCCCGCGCGGACACATTCGGACAGGATCCCGTGGACGAACCGGCAATCTCGCGGACTGACTATCCTGACGCATCAACCACTAATCGTCGACCGCCTCTTCTTAAGAACGGACCGAGGGAAATCCATACAAGATATGACACTCGTTTGATGGATATATGCGGCAAGCATGTGTGTACAACAGGTTATTTGACCCGGGTATGGGATCTCACGAACGGAGAACAAATCATGAGTCTCAGCCACGGTGAGACTGTGAAGAGTCTATCGATAGCATTCAAGCCAGGTACCGGCCTGGAAGATGAGGGTCAGCGGCTATGGCTGGGCATGAGCACGGGAGAAATCCATGAAGTGGACATTTCCACTCGATCCATTGTAGCAACACGCTCCTATCCCTCGCGCCGTGAAGTGATCAAAATCCTCCGACATAAGAAGGAGATGTGGACCCTTGACGACGAGGGACGATTGCTTGTCTGGCCGCCGGACGAGTCTGGGACTCCGAATCTTCAGTACAGCTACCACAACCCCTATGACCGAGTCGCCCGGGGACATACATTCTCGCTGGTCGTCGGAGACACATTATGGCTGGCAACCGGCAAGGAGGTTCACGTATATCGGCCAAACGCACGTGACGATGTCTCATTTAAGGTCTTGAAGAAACCTCTGGGCTCGCAGCACACTGGCGATGTCACGTCCGGTATCTACACGACTAGAGATGGGGGACGTGTGTACCTGGGCCATGCGGATGGCAAGGTTACCGTGTACTCTTCCACAGATTACGCTTGTCTAGCAGTTGTCAATGTAAGCGTTTACAAGATTAACTGCTTAGGTGTGGTTGGTGATTATCTTTGGGCGGCCTATAAGACGGGCATGATCTATGTCTACGACACGAAAACCAACCCATGGATAGTTAAGAAGGATTGGCGAGCGCATGACGGTCCAGTCTCTAGCTTCCTACTGGATTCCAGTAGTGTCTGGACCATGAACCGGCTGCAGGTGACCTCGTTAGGAGACGACAATTGCATTCGCCTCTGGGATGGAATGCTGGAGGATGATTGGCTGGGTAAGTTGATATTCTCCAGGTACGATGAATGAAAAGCGAAAACTAATGTCAACAGAAACCCGCATGCAGAGCAGAGATGTTGAATTCTGCAAGTTCCGTGAGATCTCGGCAGTCATTGTAACATGGAACGCTGGCGCGTCTACGCCAGGTAGTGTCCGCTCCAGCAACTTCATTCAGGAGGCAATTCATCCCGAAAATCCACCCGAGATTTTGGTCTTCGGCTTCCAGGAGCTTGTAGATCTTGAGAATAAGAAGATCACAGCCAGTGAGTAGAAGTCTGGGCTGCCTCACGTGTGAGTTTCACTAATTCGTCTATAGAAAGCTTGTTGTTGGGAAGCAAGAAGAAAGACGGCGGAGAGAAAGAACATATGAGCCGTCAGTACCGGGTATGGATGGAGCATCTGACTCGCTGTATCAACGACTGCATGCCTCTCGAGGAGTCGTATGTCCTTCTTCATTCAGCGAATCTCATTGGTCTCTTTACCTGCGTCTTTGTCAAGCACAAGGAACGACAGAGGATAAAGAACATCGGCGCTGCAGAGGTGAAGCGGGGTATGGGAGGATTGCACGGGAACAAGGTATGTATTTGAGGGACGGTGCGCGCCGATTTTTGGTCCGTTTGCTGATTGCGTAGGGTGCCCTGATCCTTCGCTTCATACTGGACGATAGTTCTTTCTGTTTCGTGAATTGCCATCTAGCAGCCGGGCAGTCGCAAACGGCGCACCGCAACAATGACATTGCAGCCATTCTCGAGTCCGAAGTGCTTCCGGTAGAAAACAGCCTTACCACTCGGGCAAACCACTTTGTCAGCGGTGGTGATGGAACGATGATTATGGATCATGAGATTTGCATTCTGAACGGTGATCTCAATTACCGAATCGACTCGATCCCACGGAATGTGATCATCGAGGACATTCGCAACAACAACCTCTCAAAGTTGCTTGAGCGAGACCAACTGCTGGCATCGCGACGCAAGAACCCCGGCTTCCGACTCCGGTCATTCACGGAGGCGCCCATCACGTTCGCGCCGACGTACAAGTACGATGTCGGCACGGACGAATACGACTCGAGTGAGAAGAAACGGTCCCCCGCGTGGTGCGATCGCGTACTCTACAGGGGGCTAGGTCGGATTAAGCAGTTGGATTACCGACGACACGAGGTCCGAGCCTCCGACCATCGGCCTGTGAGCGCATCGTTCAAGCTCCGCGTCAAGACTGTGCTGCCGCAAGAACGTGCCGCGGTGTGGGAATCATGTCAGCAGGAATTCCAAAAAGAGAAGCGCAGGCTGGCTTCTGAAGCTAGGTAGGCTATTCCCACTGTCTTTCTGTCCAGGTTTTACTAACGTGTGTAGCATTGAATACCTGATTAGCGTCCTGGGGACAGATCCTCAGCAGGCGCGAGCTTTGATTCTAGGCACGGGCAGTCAATGAGCCGTTGCTTGATATCCGTCTTTTGTCTCCGCATTTTCTTGCATGGCATTTCTTCCGTGGTGATCGCTTCTTTGGACAGGTAAATGTTGGTCAGGGAATGAAGTGTATAAGACGGTTTGCTGCGTCTACGGTGTTGTTGCTGTACTGTGCTATTGTTGTTGTACGACTAA